CTGAGCTTTCTGACACTAGGCAACACATTTCATTCCAAAATACCTTGATAGTTTTGAGACTTTGTTGTACCTTGCACAGATTCAAGACACCCTGTGTCAGATGCAGCAAAACAGCCCCAGATCAAAACCAAACCTCCTCCGTGCTTCACAGTAGGGACAGTGTTCTTTTCTTGGTCTGCTTCATTTTTGTGTCTGTGAACATAGAGCTGATGTGTCTTACCAAATAGAGACACACCTAAGTTTAACATGTCCCTATTGTCCAGTTATTTACAATTTTTTCAAGGGGAACCATTATTTTTGTCCAGGCCAGTTTCATTAGTTTGTTTTTCTTAATAATTCTGTTGAACAACAATTAAAAAACAGTGTCTGATTTTCATTGATTATTATTCAGAAAATGTTTATTTATTATTGCTTTTCTCAGTTTTAAGTTAATTCAGTGACCATTTCTGGTTTTTCTTTCATTACCAGAAGGGTACCAACTATTTTGTCCATGTCTGTATGAATGAGCATAGGTAATGCACTAGGAGTGGTTGCACTTGACACCCACCTCCCCTTTCTCTGTAACTGCTGTGTCAGACTCCTCATTTTGGTCATAAAATGTTGGTCTGGATCCACTCTAAACGGTCCTGGGGGTTTTATTTTGATATTTTGTCTGTAAATCAAGATATGAACATATCAGTGTGAGCAGGAAGTAGGGTTACCTTCAACAGTCTTGCTTCTGATTGGTTCTTTGGTTTTGCTCTCAGATTTCCAAATGGTCCCTGGTGGCAGATTAGTTGCTATGACTGCTGACCGCGATGAGCTTCATCTGGTTGGAGCTGAACACTGTGAGTGATGTCCACTTTGTTATACAGTCTGGACTCTAAACTGTAGAGAGAATTGGGATCCCACTGCTCCTGATATTCCCAGCGGTCTCCTGTCCAAACCCTGAGGCCCAGTCCAATCTCCAAATTTACATTTTTATCAAAGACATTAGAGAAAGTTGTGTACAATCAACTCCAGTCTTATCTTGACTTTATATACCTCACTTATGCCCACAGTACTCCCCTTTAATCAAAATATATGAGTTAAAATTACTCAAAAAGAAGAACATGTTACTTGACACAGTTAAGTTTTAATTAAGGATAATTCGTAAAACTTTTAGTCTACACAACTTCTTCTATTTAATTACTTTGAACGTTCGGGTTTACAGTGTGGCATTGGGAAGAAATTTCAGTCTGGTTTAAAATCTTTTAATGTCCTGCTTTTAGCTGTTGATTGTGGTAAAGCTGCAGTTCTTGTTCTTGTACTTTTAGATGTCACAGCAGTTTTAGATCCGGTGGAGCAGGGCTTTTCTCACGTCTGGAGCAGTGTGAGGGCATCGGAGGCAGCCAAACCGCCCTGGCTAATAGAAAGATGGAGAGTTACTGGGCCCCTTAGAACTTAGTGCAGTGTCCACGTAAAACAATTTTAAAAAACATGATTGGTGTGATTTTTGATTCTTTGTTCAACTTTGCTAAACAAATTGGAGGTGTTGAAGGCGAGCTATCTCCACCCGAGACCCTTATCTTTTAAACCCAAGCTTCCCTTTTATTTAGAGGTTTTTATTACATCGAGGTTGGACTCTCAGCTCTCTTTCTGTAGGCCTAGATCAACGTTGTCTTCGGCGCCTGCAGGAGTCCAAAATGCTGCAACTGGCCGACTGACAGTCACAGAGAACATGTAAACTCCACACAGACCCACAGGACCCAGGAACTGAACCAGGGACCTTGTGGTGTGAGGTAGTATGTTTCAACATGGATTTGTTTTCTTTTTCATCCTGTCGCATAGAGCTGTGCTTCTCCAACTGTACTACATGTACTACTCTGTACTACATGTACTACTCTGTGTTACTACATGTACTACTCTGTGTTACCACATGTACTACTCTGTACTACTACATGTACTACTCTGTGTTACATGTACTACTTTGTGCTACTACATGTATTACTCTGTGGTACCCGTACTTCTCTGTGGTACATGTATTACTCTGTAGTACATGCATTCCTCTGTAGTACATGTATTTCTCTGTAGTACGTGTATTACTCTGTAGTACATGTATTTTTCTGTAGTACGTGTATTTTTCTGTAGTACATGTACTCCTCTGTTGTACGTGTATTTTTCTGTAGTACATGTACTCCTCTGTAGTACATGTATTTTTCTGTAGTACCTGTATTTTTCTGTAGTACGTGTATTTTTCTGTAGTACGTGTATTACTCGTCATAAGTTCCAGTGAAAGGTCCAGACCACATCTGTACTTCTGTGTTCGACCTGGTTTACACCTGCTGGTTCTAGGAAGGTCAAGTATTCTTAGTGTTTTGCTCAGTGACACAAAAGCAGCATGTTTTCAGGTCTGGAGGTTTGAACCGGTTTCCCTCCCGTCTGTGACTCATATTTGCTGCCCCCTCCCCTCGGGGTCAGGCAATGTGGAGCTCTGGGAAAGTGACTGTAACACCCGAGTACAGCTGTGTGAGGCGGTGTACCTCTGTGTAGTCGTTGTTGTAATAGTCGTAGTAATAGTAGTAGTATTTGTGTAGTTCTGGTTTGTGGTATTGACAGGTGCTTCTTGTCTTCTGCGTCTCTGAAAAATTTCAAAAGCGAAAAACAGCGAGGGAAGAGGCGGAGACGGAGAGATAGAGAGATTAGAGAGAGAAGGGATGAGAGACAGAGCTAGAAAAAAGAGAAAGGAGATAGAAGTAAGGATGAAGGAGGAGACACACACACACATACACCAGTGTACGCAGACACTGGGGGCGAGGTGGGTTAAGTGTCTTGCCCAAGGACACAACAGCAGCGTTCATCTGTGAGAGCTGGAATCGAACCACCAACCTGTGGCTCAGTGGATCTGAGCACTCAAGCCAATGATGTTTTTATGGTGAGACCCGAGAGAAGAGAGAAAAGAGAGCAGAGAAAGAGAGGAAGAGAGACGGGGGAGAGAGTGAAAAGAGTAAAAACAGAAAAGGAGAGAGAGACAGAAGAAAGGATCAGAGGAAGACATGAGAGAGAGAGAGAGGGGTGGAGAGAGAGGGGGTGTGGGTGTGGAAAAAGCAGAGGAAGGGGTGCAGGCTTTAACACTTCTTCCTTCCTTTAGTAAATATACAAAAAGTGGAATTAAGACAAATATATTAAAATTAAATTGTATTATTAAAATACAACATTCAAACTGTGTGGACATATGACTGTTGGAAAGTTTCTCTAACGTCATCACCATCATCATCATCATCATCATCATCACCATCACCATGTGAGGGGATCATCTCTGTGTTCTCAGGTGTTCTCCTTAAATTGGTTCATTGTTCCAGAATGAGACACAGTCAGGAGGATTGAACACAGAGTGAGAGTGACATGACGTGTACATGATGGCGGCGCTGGGCAGGGTCCTGTCAGGAAACACAGAGACGGCTCTCCGTACATGACCTGGTCCATTCATTTGTGTCCTTTATAACATCCAGTTAACCAGTTTATCTTTTTGTGTTTTGAAATAGACTCTTAATGGGGGCACTAGGTTCCTCTGCCTAAATAGTGCTGGGAAAAAAGGGAGTGTAAAAACTTTTTAAGGCAAGCACAGGAGCTCGTCAGAGATGTTGATCATCATAAAAATTGTTCTTGTTAGGTTGTTAACTTCACGTGAATTTAACACAAAAATGTCCCTGGTGTCCATTACAGACAACATGTTACAAATTATAATGAGCAGAATCTAAATGTTCATGTGTTCATTTACCTCCAAAGAGATAGAAAATCACTATATACATATATATGTATATAGGAGGAGGATAAGGCAGGAGTTTCCGTGCGGGCTGGTATCTGGTGTAAGACATGTAAATGCAGAATTGTGTGGCAGTGTGGTCAGAAGTATTGTGTGTGTGTGGTGTTGTGATGTGGGCACAGTGTGGCAGGTGGAGAGTGCTGCACATGCATCATCACTGCAGAGTCTGGAGATACTTCAGCAGAGCGTGACCTGCAGCACACATCAGCTCTGAGCACAACTCCAGCCCAGATCTAACACAGGCCTTGGAAATGTGCAGGAGAAGTTCAGTCCTTAGTTTAAAGTTTTCTCAGCACAAACATCTCCAAAACCTGACGGCTTTGCACACGTCACACTCAAACTGTTTTCATTTTGTGCAGGACTATAATGACTTTGTACATTTTCAGCTCCTCTGCTTCAGGTTGGACCCATCATGATTTGTGAGCGGACAAAAGCCCACAGTGCCAGCAGAGGGCGCACGGCCTCAACATGTACGTGTCTATAAAAGTCAAGCGCTTCAAATCAGACTTTCAACAATAACTGCAAACTTGAGATGTATTTTAGTCATTTGAACTTCTAAACCTGAACTCTGATTGTCTTGTTTCTTTCTTAAAGGCTCAAAATTATATTAAATTCTTTTCTGATCTAAGATATAATGATATATGTAGTTTCACATCACAAACAGACCTAGAGTTGTGTTTTGTCACAAACTGCAGATTTCGGCTCAGTTCTTTTCTCAAACAGAAAACACTCATGAAAAAACTTGTCATGTCATAATACAGGAAGTGCTCCACTGTGTTTTTAAACTCAACACACCTTCACTAGAATCATTTGGATCATTTCAGTCCTGGAATTGGAAATCTCTACTGAACTAAAGGTAAAAGGATAATAAAGAGTTACTCAAACATGTGTGAATGAAACAACTCCAGGTCTGTAACATTGTAACATGGCTTAAAGCTCAAAAGAGGACATTTTGTATAATATTGGACCTTTAATATTTTTACATTTTTATTTTGAGTTCCATTTATTTTTTTGCTTCAACAGAAACCCTTGACAAAATAATCAGAAAAAGCCTGAAACTTTGAGAGAACAAATCAAAGTCTGAACTATATTTGAATCTGATGGTCTTGTTTTTTACAGTGCAACTTTCGGTCCGCTGCACAACTTTCTTTTTCACTTTTGTTTGAGCTTTACTTCCTGTCTTTGTCTCTCTCTCTCGCTCTCTCTCTCTCTCTGCTCCCCCTTTTTCTCTCTCTCTTTCTCACACTCCCCTCTCTCTCTGTCTCTCTGTCTGTCTCTTAAAGTAGCACACTGCAGGAGTAGACGAGCAGTGAGAGTGAGAGTGTGTGTTTGACTCTGAGCCTCTCGGTGTGTCTCTGTCTCTGCTCCTTTGTCAAAATAAACCCGGATATTTAAAGGTTTTCTCACCATTTTGGACACAGACTTTCACTCAAAAAGGTAAGAGGAACTGTTAATGTTTTTGGAAAAATAGTTCAGAGCATTACTGATTATGGTTTGTGTGGAAATAGTAGGATGTTTTTGTTCAAAGTTCACTTTTCAGACATGTCATGGAGCATTTATATTTGAGAGAAAACTGAAATCAAGACGTGTATTTGAGAACAGGAGTTGTGAGGACAGTGGGTTGTGTATGGGACTCACACTGCAGCTTTTTGTTGTTGCATATCACATCTGAGCACACACCGGACACTGGACAGTTATCGTGTTGTTGTCTTATTGTGCTGTTGTGTGTGTTATGGGACCTGGTTTGCACTGTTTGGATGTTGCTGCAGGTCTGATGACTCTGTTTGTACATAGTGTTTGCCATAATCGTGGTGCTGAGCTGCCCTGGGGCACACTGACTGTGCATGTGGCTGTACCTGTATGATCTTTGACGTGAGACCTTTTCACATGAGTATAAATATGTGAGGGGTTGTCATGTCTCTGGAGTGTGCGCTTTAGTTTGTCTGTGTGAGAAAGGCTCACAGGAGTCAGGACTTCAAATATAAACTGAAAATTAAAAACATTCAGTTGAAGCACATGTGGTGGAAATGACTGAAATCTGTGCTCACAGTTACAAATCTATTCATCAAATAGCTCAGCTGATTCACCTATAATCACCTCAGTGTTGAAATGAAGATGAATGAATCAAATTCAAGCTCTACTGCTACTGCTGACCCGGAGGGAAAATGTTTTTGTTACAGACAAACAGCTGACCTGCACAAAGAACCCTGATGACACTCTTTACTGATCAATGTTCTACTGTTGTTTCCTCGTCACAAACACACACACATGTTTAAAACACAAACCCTGCAAACAGAAAACACTCACATGTAATATTACAGGAAGTGCTCCACTCTGTTTTCAAACTCCATACACCTTCATTAGGATCATGTGAATCATTTCAGACCTGGCATTAATCTCTGCTGAACTAAAAGGAAAAGAGCTGTTCACTGAAAAACTACCACTACATGACATCACAAGGTGGAACAGACCCTTCTGAGCTTTGGAGATGTACACAGACTAATAATAAAGAGTTAATCAAACATGTGTGAATGAAACAAAACACAACTCCAGGTCTGTTTTTGACGAGGGAACATTAGAACATTAGGAACGTTCAGATGGTTGGTATAAATAAAATGATAATGTGATAATATTTGCCTTATTCTCATTTTCAAGCACAGTTTTCTGTATTTTAGCTAAACAAATGACAACATACTCCCCTTTTACTTGTCAGAGATCAAACTGTGGTCTAAAATAGGGACACCAGCATGTCTTGTGTAAAACTGGGACAAATCAGTGGTTTTGTATAAATCTGCTGGGACAGAGGACAGAGGACACAGGGCTCAGCGCTGGGACTGTCCCGGGTTAGAGATGTCTGGTCACACTAGACTTGTGAAGAAACTCACCTTTCTGCTCTGGAAAAGTTGAACATTTTCTCCTTCAGTTTTGTCTTTACCATGAGTTTGTCTTGTTTGTGTAATGTCCTTGTCCAAACCTGCACAGACATGGACAGTCAGAAATCAGATTACTCTCATCAGGTTTTTAATGAGCGCGTGAACATGATTGAAATGTCTGTTTCCACTGCACATCTGTAATACTTCTTTAATACTCAGCAGGGGGCGCCCTGTCTCCACCTCCAGCCCCGGTCCTCCTCTCTCCCTCCCCGGGCTCAGAGCTCCTTTTCCCCGCTGTGCACCTCTCTCTGTCTCGGTGTCTGTGCTCATAGGCGCGTGTCTGTGCCGGTGTCGCGCTGCTCTGCTCCTCCAATCAGAACACAGGAGCGCGCGGTTTACCTGCGTGACGCGCGTATTACGTCCGCACTCTGTTATCTTTGTTTTCGGAGTGGAGTTTAGTTTGAGTCTGACCGAGTCACGAACATGACAGACCCGAGGGACACTTGAACTGCAACTTCACCAGGTAAGACCTGTGTACTGCTGCTACTGTTTCTGATACTGCAAATAATACTACCTCTAACTACTGCTACTACTGCTACTACTCTTGTTACCATTGTGTACATCATTAATATCTTTATCTCTATTTCGACTACTATAATGTTATGACAGTCACTACTGCTTCAACTACTGCTGAAGCAGTAGTTGTTGTAGTATTAGTAGTACTAATACTAATACTGCTACTAGATTTACTCTCGTGGTATTTGTATATGATTGTATAGCAGTATTTCTGTACTTTTAGCCCTACATTATGGTGCTAATACTACCTCTGCTGCTTTTGCTACCACTAGAATACTTTTATTACTATTACTTTTATTTATGTAGTTAATGAGACAGGGACAGTGCACAATTTTAACATGAACCTTAACAGGAGAGATGTTTGTACATCAGGTTATAGCTCCAGTGTTCATCCACCTGTCGTCCCTGGACAGGTTCATTGGTTGATTGAATTTAATTGACCGTAACAATCAACTGTTCTTCCTGGAGCATGTTTTTATCACCATTGTTTACATTTTTCTCTAGACATTTGTCTTTGTCAACTAGTACTTCTTTCTCAATTAGTACTATAGTTACTATACAGTAGTAGTATAGCAGTATAGTATAGGAGAATAGTACTACTAGTATAGTAGTATAGTAGTATAGTAGTAGTATAGTACTATTATATAGTAGTATAGTATATTAGTAGTATAGTAGTGTAGTACTATAGTACAACTTTTACTGCCTGTACTATTGCTACTACAACTACTACTTCTACTTCTACTACTACTACTACTACTACTACTGCTACTACCGCTGCCGCTGCTGCTGCTACTACTACTATTACTACTACTTTTGATGTGTAAATTTGCCTTTACCAACTACTACCACTAGTACCTTTGTGTCTACTCTGTGACTAAGGTACTACTACTCTGAATGAAGTTCTAGATAAGTACTTTCTAATGTGTAGTCAGTGTAGTGTTTGATGTGGTGTGTCTCTCTGTCAACTGAACAGTCAGAGCTTTTACAGTGTGCTGACAGTGCTCATGTCACGTCAGACTTTTCCTTTTGCATTTTGTCATTTAAATGATCTTAAATCAGACCTGTTGTGTAAAATGGACTTTTTAGAGCTTTTAGCCATGTTATCGTAGTTTCTTCTCACTGATCCTGAAGTTGTATTTGGAGTGATTCGTGTATGTTTGAGGAATCTTTAATCTCTTATTTTCAAGACCCCATTTTGTTGATCTATCCCTATTTTCATCTCCACCAGTGCACGCCCACTGTGATGTACGCACCTCCTTCTCCAGTTTGATTTTCTGCACATAGGATTGGGCAGGGTTGTGTAGTCATTTTGGTACAAATGAAAAAAATGCTGATTGTGGCCAATATGTGCTATCAGCCCCTCCCACCACTAACACACACCACGTTCATACTAGGCAATGTGGATGAAGTGCCTTGCCCAAGAACACAACAGTTTATGCTATTGGCACCCCACTGTGGCTCGTGGTGTTCTCAGTGGTCTCCCGTCCAAGTCTTGACCAGACCCAGCTCTGCTTAGCAAAAGTACATCTGTCTTTGATAAGGAGGTGGACTCACATGCCTTCTGCATTCTGAGCATCTGAATTCAGAACTTTCAGAGACCAACAACTAGCATGCTAACATGGACTTTCTGATTATCAGGCAGTAAAACACTTTATAATGAAATGCAGACACCAGTGCACCACTGATACTTACTGTTTTTTTTTTTTTTTTTTTTTTTCCACAAGAGTCACACTGGAAGAGTAAAATCAAGAGGAGAGCCACTTACACCAATATACACCAACACACTAAGTCACCTCTGCAAATATGCATTTTTATGTCCCACAAAAAAGAAACACAGCCAATACATCTTCAGTTAAAACCATATTTACCTTAATACTGGGAATGAGCAGAAGCTGGCATGCATTATTACTATTACTAATCTGAATAAATAAACTCAACTTTACAACATATAAACCATAATGACTCTAGAGCCACATCAGCCCCTTTGACATTACCATGTGTTTAATGCAGCTTTTACACAAACTCAACTTAAAAGCACATGGTTCATTTGCATTAATTGTAAGCTCTTTCCTTGTGCGTTGATGCGTCAGCTTCTGTCGGACTAAAGGACATGACTCACTGGAATATGAGTGTTCTCTCTGTGATGATGATGATGATGATGATGATGATGATGATCTGTTCTGTGTGTGTCGCATTGGAGATGGTTCATGCTTTCAGAGAACATATGAGTGCAGGTCATATGAGTGCAATTCGTACGAGTGCAGTACATGCTCTAGTTTAGCACAGCTCTTCCAGTCATTTCACTCACTTTATTTATGTTGGTCACTTTATTTATGTTGGTCAATTTAATTATGTCGGTCACTTTATTTATGTTGGTCACTTTATTTCGATGATGTTAATCAAGAACATGTTCTACTTTTTAAAATGCGGGTCAGGCAGTGGGTCGGGTACAATATTTTCAAATATTTTTTGTGGTCGGATATGGGTCATTTATACATGGACCCCCGTGTCACTGGTTGCTGGTGTCATGGCACCCCATTTAGGAAACACTATTAATTAAGCCTTGATTAATACTTAGTGCAGAACTTTGTGTTGCAATGTTCACTATATGTTTATCTGCACATTTAAACAAATATATTGGCTGTGTTACTAGTTTTGGTATAGGCCACCAGTGGCTCATGAGCCGTACAGTGAGTATCCCTGCAGAACACAGTGGACTTATTTTGACCTCATGAGCTGCTTATACAGTAGATCTGTACTGGGGAAAGACACATATTGCACAAATACATGGAAACATCTAGTGCAGCCCCTGTAGGTCCCCAGACCCTCTGCAGCAGTCCTCTGGTCAGTGCAGGTTTTCTAGTACTATAAAGTTACTACATGTGTGAATTATCTGTAGTTCTATGAAGTCTAAAGTTACTGCATGTATGAAATGCTGTATCTGTAGTATTCTGTTGTAGTGAAACCTCCTGAGGCTCAGACCCCAAA